CTTGGGCATCTTCCTGGTTTTCACTGACCACCCAGCTCCCCCCAGTTTACAGTAGAGTTGGACCGTGTGCTTTTATGATCTGTAAGGTTTCTGTTGGCTGATTTGGGAATCACTTGCTCCTTAGTCTCGAAGCTCTTTCTGGAAGCTGCCCACCATGGGTGACCTTGTTGTATCTGACATCCTGGTGTCATAGCTTTCAGCATCACAGCAAGACCGAAGCCATCGCAGAAGGAGATACTGGCAGGCAATTGGTGGACTGTCCCGCTAAAGGACCACATCTTATTGATTTTGTCCATAAAATTTCGACTCTTAGCAGTCCTGTGGACAATAGAAAGTTCTTGCTGATTCCTGTGCTATCCTCACCACCTCCACGGCGTTTCCGCCCAGTGGTGCAGTCACTATGTCAGTCCGTCTTACTAAGGTGCTTCCTCCTCTTGGATGGCCCTTCACTCTTCCCAGCATAATGCCTTTCTCCGGGGAAGCATTGCACCCCAGGACACACTCTCCTTCTTCCTCCATGCTGTGTCTTTTGACGGCAAGTGTTGTTATTTCTAGGAACTTTCTTTTCCTTTAATGAAAGAACACTGGGGAAATAAGGTGACATGTTTCTATAGAAACGGGAGGGGGAAATCATGCTGCTTGAATTAATTAAAATATTTTCAGCAAAGAGAAAGGCTTGAGTCCTAACACAGATAATGCAGCATACTGTTCTTGTGGCATTTTAAAAAAATAAATGAAGACATCCCTTTTCCATTTTTGAAATGGAATTTAGCCAGACGTTCAGTCTGTGAGAGAGCTCTGACAGCTGTTGTATTTCGTCAAGTGGAGCTTCAATACAAATGACCTGGTATAAAGTGTGGGACTGGTAATCTAATCTTGGCAGTTCAAATCCACCAGCTGCTCTGGGGAAGAGAGATGTGTAGTGTGTTCTTGTAAAGACTTACAGCTTTGGAAATTCAGTGGAGGGACCCTGTGAATTGAAATCAACTTAGTTGCTTAACCAGCAAGAGTCACTGATATTAGTCATTGCCATCAAGTTGGAACGGACTCCTGAGGAACAATCCAGCAGGTTTGTGGAGGCTGCAACAATCACTTGGAGAACCTGCTCACTTTGCTGCCATAGGGCAGCTGGTGCGTCCGAACCATCAGAGAGGCACCGTCTTTGAGTTCACAGCTCAGCTCCCTACACATGACAGCACTGGGAAGATGAGCTTATTTGATGTACAAGTCCTTTCTAGGCTCCTGTTTTTGTTGTTGTTTTAAGCAGTAGAATCTCTGGACCATTTTCTAGCTAATGAGTATAATACACAGAGACGACAAAATCATAATTCTTTTCTAAGTGTATTTGAAAGAGAGTTTGCCTCAGCATGGCTCAGCTCTGCTTTCTTTAGGTAAACGTGGTGGTTTTCTGGATATCAAAGAATTGATTTCACTTCTTCCCAGCTTGTTAATTAAATGCATCCATGAGGTTGGTATGTTAAAACTGTGTATGTGAAGAATATTTATTCCTCAGAACGTACATGGGCGGACAGAATTGGCTGTTAAACATAAATGACCAACGCTGTTGTTAAGTGTCATCAAGTCGACCACCAATCACAGCAAGCCTGTGGACAACAAGTTAGAAGTCTGCTCTGTCCTGGACCAATGTTGACTGTCTCTATCCTAGCTCTGGTTGTACTTCCTCCGAGAGAGATTTGCTTGCTCTTTTAACATTCCAGGCACTGTTCCGTCCTCTTTGCAATCATGAATCCAGAGGCATTATTCCGTAATCATTGTCCAAATTTCAGATGGCTAGGAAGCCGTTGGAAAGTGCATGGCTTCAGGCAGGTGCTCCACAGTCTTTACACTGACATCCTTGCTCTCTGGCATTTTAAAGAAAATACCAATATTTAACCCTTAGTAATTATGCAACCAAAAGATTGATGGCCTGAACTCTCTGAGCTGCCCTTTGGGACAAAGACCTGATAGTGTACTCCTGGTAAGACTCCAGTGAGAAATTCTGTGGAGAAAAGTACTTTCTCCCCTGTCACGTGTGGGGGTCTGCAGGCTTAGGAATCACCTCTAGGGCACTTAACATCAACATCCTACAGTAGATCAGAAAACACCCAAATTTCGGCAAGCTCTGGTGGCCTAGTGGTAAGAAGGAATCCCAGAGGTGCACGATTCAAATCCCACAGATGCTCTGCTGGAGAAGGAGGAACCATCTCCTCCTGTACCAGTCAGATGTGATTTGATGGTACACACACACACACACACACAAAATGATAAAATTAAAAGAAAAAAAAAACCCAAATTTTATTATCTTCCTTCAAACCATCTTTCAGCACTTTTTAAGTGCTCATCATTGAAAAATCTCTTTCAGTCGTGAATGATGTAACACATTTTTTTCAATTTCCTGCTACCTTAATGTAGAAGAAGCTTTGGTGGCACAGTGGTTAAGTGCTCAGCTTCCTGCCTGAAAGGTTAGTGGTTCAAACTCACTAGCCACTCAGTTGACGGAGATGAAGTCATCTGTTTCCGTAAAGATTTCTCGTCCTGGAAACTCACTGGGGTAGTTAGTTCTTCTTGAACCTACATCCAGGGTTGCTGTAAGTCTGAATGCCCTTACTGGCACTGGATTTGATGGACTTTAACTCAGGAATCACTTTGGGGTGTTGCACATTTCTCAAATACTACACTACATTGAAAGATTGGGGGTTCACACCCACTCAAGACATCTCAGAAGGAAGATCTGATGATCTGATTGGGGGTTCACACCCACTCAAGACATCTCAGAAGGAAGATCTGATGATCTGATTGGGGGTTCACACCCACTCAAGACATCTCAGAAGGAAGATCTGATGATCTAATTTCGAAAAACCACAGCGACTTGAAAACCCCTTGGAAAAACCCTGTCTTGTGAGTTTAAAAATTAAAAAAAAAATTGTGGCAATGTGCCATGGGAAAGTCTGCTGTTAGGGACCTCTCCAAAGTACTGAAGAGCAGTGGTGTCTCTCTGGAGACTAAGGTGCATCTGATACAGGCCATGGTCTTTGCAATCACTTGTTATGCATCATAGAGTTGAACAATGACTAGGGAGGATAGAAGGAGAATTGATGCCTTTGAGCTGTGGTGCTGGAGAAGAATATTGAGAATACCATGGACTGCTAGATTTGTCCTGGAAAGGGTTAAACCGGGTGGCTCCTTGGAGGCAAGGATTCTGAGGCTCCGTCTAACATACTTTGGACATGTTGTGAGGAGAGACCGGTCCTTGGAGAAGGACGTCATGCTTGGGAGGGTGGAGGGACGGCGCAGGAGAGGAAGGCCCTCTATGAGGTGGATTGATTCAGTGACTGGAATAATCGGGATGGGAGTGTCAGAGACAGTGCGATTGGCACAGGACAGAGCAGAGTTTAGGGCTGTTGTACATAGGGTCGCTATGAGTCGCAAGCGACTCGATGGCACATAACAACAACAATAACATGTGCCATGATTTGGAATTGACTTGTCTGGGAACTGGTTTGGTGGGACTCCCATGGTGGTGGAAGTGCCTACTATAACTTGGTGGCAGATGATTTTGATCTTAACTGAACCCACCTCTATCTTCCTATCACCTTGTAAGCAGTCAAGGGTTGGTTTGTAATCGATTGGTATGATATATGCTCACAGCTCTGGCATGTTCATCTCGTGGCCCCCATGACTATATGAGAAGAAGAAGAAAGAGAGCCAATTGCCACCATACCTTACTCAAAATTAAGGGCTTTATGAATTGTGGCTGGAAAATAAAGCACAAATGGCACCTTGCATGATAAGGATCTATGGCTAATCTCTTTGAGTAGAGCTTTCTGTCCCTCTCTTTTTCTTTTTAAAGAGCATTGTCTTAGCTGCTCTTGAAAAGTCACCGGTTCAAATCTCCATCCTCCAGAGATAATCTGATGAAGATATTTTAAGACAGTCCCCTCCTTCTAAAACCCAACTATGTCAGAAACCCAATAAAAATGGAGTGTTGTGAGCGTAAATGGGCTGGATGTTTGGATTTGGTTGTTGTTGTTTTGGGGGTAAAGGTGGTCCTTTTGCTTTGTCATGGAAATTCCTGTTCAGATCCCATATTCAGGTAATCCAGGTAGGTGAGTCCTGTGTGGCAAATACTAATACATACTTCAAACCCAGGGAAGGTTATTCCTTTTAAAACAATAAAAAAAAAGTAAATGCTACTTATTGAGCATGGAAAACGATAGATTGGTTTGTCTGTGTGTTTTTGTTTTGGTGTTTGTTTTTTTTTTTTTTTCAAAGGGCAGGGGGGTAATGATTCCCTGCAAGTTGAAATCTTAATGCCATTTCTCATGTCTTTTTTTAAATTCTTGTGCGTGAAATGAATGGAGACGTCACATGAAAGGTAAAACCTGGTCAGGCTATTTTGACGAAGGTTTTCCCATGTTACTGCTTGTGTGGATGCATCCATAATCAGTTTTTCTCATCTGGGTGTATTGGTGACATTTAAAAAAAATCACATTGAAATTCGAGGAACTCCAACTATTACATATGCATTTGGATTTTTTTTTTTTTAAATGTGGGAAATCTCTTTTCAAATAATTGAATGTTCCCTTTTTTCTTTTTTAATTTTAAACTCACATTAGCTTTGAGGTTGATTTTTTTTTTCTTTCTTTCTTTCCTTGTTTTTGGTAATGAGGCCATTAACTCCCAGACTGCATTTTCACAGGACCTCTGATATTTTTTGGCAAGTAATGTTTCCACACGGTTTTTCTTGACATCTTTACGTTGATAGGCATTTTGCATCTGCCCTCCTTCATATTTTTTTTTCTTTTTTAAAATTCAAACGTAACCGATTTCAATTTTTTGTGTTCTTCTTTTCTTTTGCCTGGATAATATCGCTCTCTTCTGGGTTGTTTTTGGTTTTTGGTTTTTTTTTTTGTGGTTTTTCTTTTCTTTTTGGAAAACCTATTGTTCTTGAATTGTCTTTTTTTCCCTCCCCTTTATTTTTCCTTTCACTCTGACCCCAGGAGCGAACACAAAGAAAGGCAGTGATGATATTACCAGCAATGACCGTGGGAATGATGAAGGTATTTTGTGCTTTTCTTCCCCCCCCCGCCCACCCCAAGACCCTGATGCATGATTTTATATCTTACCTATCTCTACTATATAGATAATTTCCCACCCATTTCAACCTCTTTTTTTCCTCTCCCCTTGTTTGCATCTAGTACACTTGGGTGTACTTTTATGTGTTTCTCGTTTGGGGCGACCACTGTCATTTTTAAGCCTACTTCCTGTATACATGCTTGCACGCCCTGCCACCCTCCTTGGTAAGAGAAACCTACCTCTTCTCTCTTAAATGCTGAACAACTAAGAAAAAAAAACTCTTTCCAAGGAAGCCCACCTTCTTTATGCATCGTTTAATTCTTTTTTTTTCTCTTTCCCCTCCTATTTTTGCTTGGTCACAAGAAGAGGACTGTTATACCATGCATGTCTTCTTTGTTTTATTCCTGCCACCAGGTTTGGTTTTTTGGTGGGTTATTTTTTTTTTTTTCTTAAATGACCTTTCAAAGCACTCAAGATGCCTCCATGGTATCTTTGGGGAGCTGCATTTCTGTAAATTTTTATTTTTCTTTTCTTTTTTTTTTTTAATCCCTCCTCTTTTAACAGGCATTGAATCCCAATCCAAGATCAGTATCACAGTGAAAACTATCCATAAGTTTTCGATTGAGCCGTGGTTCTGTTTCAGGAGCTTGGTTGATTGTTGTTGTTTGGTGCCATGCCACCGTGACCCTGTGCACAACAGCATGGGACCTGTCCTGGTCTTTGTCATTGTCACTCTGTCTGCTGTGGTCATGCCGCAGTGTCAGTCCATCTCAGTGGGAGGGTCTCCCTCTGTTTCACTGACCCTCTGCTTTTCCAAAGCCTGCAGAGGACATAAGGCGTGCTCTGTCCTGCCAACTCAAAGGCAGACATTCAAATCTACCAGCTGCTGTGTGGGAGGGACAAGGGTGGAAAGTTCTCCTCCTGTGTGATTTACAGCCTCTGAAAACCCGCTGAAGGGTCAGCTAGGAGTTGACTCCCGCTTGACAGCACATAACAACAAAGATGACATTCCTCAGCTTGTTTTCTTTGGCAATATGAAAAGAAAGATGTGAAGGCTCCCCAGCAGTCAAAAGTGAGGTCCATCCAGAACATGACATCTCTCTCTCTCCGCATCACAGCAATTGTGAACGCTTTCGTTTTTGTTTCTCTTCCTGCACCCTTCTGTTGCTATGGGAGAAAAAAAATGTCTTTCCCCTTTTCCCTCCAAGGATCCCAAATTGCTTGACAAATTATCTACCAGAAACTGCGGTGATTTTTTAGGGGTGGGGTTTTTTTTGTTTGTTTTTTCCTGAAAAGATAGAAAGTATGTGGCATGCAGGCTGACAACCCACCGTTCAGCGCAAGCAAAAAAGAAAACAATAAATAAATAAGCAGGCCCCCTCCTTCTTGAGAGGTTCCGCAGATTGGATAAAAGCACATTTCCCCCTCTGTCATAGGAGGGGCACACAGAACTCCATTTATTTACCTTCAGGGAGCCAACAGAGACCTGATGAATCTTTCCTATCTTTGCTTGAAAGGCAATTTGCAGCCAGTGTGCTCCCCGCACCGGGCAGCCTAACTCTCTCTGTGGAGGGCCTTTTTAGCCAAGGCTTCTTCCTGCCAGCCAACGAGGCTGTCCAGCGCAGCCCAGCCTTTGTGTTCCGTCTGCCTGAAGTCCACGAGGCACTCACTGCCTCCAGCAGCTCTCTCAAAGGTCTGGGAGATGGCACGTGGGAAGGCTCTCCATCCTGGTAACCAGTTCACCACTTAGCTGTTCCTTACGGGTGGGTGTCAGCTTGCCTGCCTTACGCACCAAGCACACCTTTCTCCTCCTCCTGGTCCAGTACCACTGCCTCTCTCCGCTGCCATCCATCAGCATCCTTCCTTGGCTTCCCTGGGGATCAGCCCGCACGCTCATCCCGTGTATTCCAGCTCCCGCCGAGCTTTGCTCAGACTCCGTCGGTCGGAACCAGCTCATCGCCTACCCTCCAGCAGCCTTCTGAGGCTGTAAATCACACGGATGGAGATGATCCGTCTTTCTTCCCTGGAGCAGCTGACGGATTCGAAATGCTGGAGAGGTACAGGTGTTAGATTCACCTCGCAGCCCCTTAGGGCTTGGCTACCGCTGCCTCCCTTGTTGTTAGATGCCGTCGCATCATCCTTAAATGACAGATCTGAACCTTGCCTTACCACTCTCACCATGTCCCCTGTTATAATCTGTCTCTCTCTCTCTCATCGCATGGAAGGAACTAGCTCAAAGGATGCACTTTTCTGACAGTACAAATCCATCAGCAGTTCCTCAGGAGAAAGACAATCTTTTACGTGATTTCGATAGCCTTGGAAACTCACTCGATTGACTTTCTACTCAACAGCGATGTTCGATAGTCATCTGTGAGTTTCAGTCCCTCTCTCCTCTCTCTGTGACCCTTTTCTCTCTCCCAGCATCATCTCTTTTCCCAGGGACTGATCCCTCTTGATAGCATCCCCAGAGAAATGTGAGACCAGGTTTCACCATCCTTATTACCCTTTGTCCGGTACAATGCCTGCTGAGTTTGAACTGCCCACCTTTCAGCGTGCCTCCAGGCATTTTTGGCATTAGCTCCTCATTCAGTGGCATCATGGATTAAACCACCTTATCTCTTTTGGCAGCATCCTTACCGACGACTCTGTAGCATTTCTGTTCCTACTGTAACGACGCCGTCTGATTTCCATGTAATACAAATAAACGCTAGTGTGTACTTAGAATTAATATTGCATCTGATTACGACTCCCTCAAGTTCGTGAACATCTTCTTCTCTTTTTCATTAAAGGTAAAGAGATGTGAAAGTAATAGACTTTCCGGCGGAGAACCATAAAAATCCCAACCAGTTCAGAATCTCCACTTACCCTTTGCCCTCAGCAATCACCAATGGTAAAATCAGCGAGATTAGCCCCCCGCCCCGTTTACACGTTGAAACAGATTCATGCTGGCCCAGTAGAGTAGAGCAGGGCAGCCCCATAAGCTTCCAAACGCTTCACAACTTTTTCCTGTTGGGAGGTTAGTGAGTTCCAACTGTCAATTCTTTGAGGTACCAGTCAAATGATTTACCCACAACACCACCAGAGTTCTTTGTAAAGGAACAGAAATATGAAGAGAGGGCAAAAAATAATGGGATGGTACAAAACACCTTTGCTTGGTCAGACAGCAGCTTGTTGTTGGTGTTTGTTGTGTTGGACTGTTTTGTTTTTTTTAAAAAAAAAAACACACCACCTATATTGTTTGATGTCTTCAAATTGAGTACAATTCATAGTGACTCTTTGTGTGACAAAAACACTACTTGATCCCTTGCCATCCTCATAATCTCTTTATTATTGCCATCACTGTGTCCATCTCATCAGTGGTCTTCCTTTTCTTCGTTGACTTTCTTCTTTTCCAAGCTTGATGTCTTAGGCTCTCCTGATAACATGCCCAAAGTATGTGAGATGAAATCTCCATCTCCTTGCCTATAACGTGTAATTCTTTAAAAACGTATGTGTTTATTCTTCTGGCAGTCCATGGTCTTGTTTGTATTCTTCAATAACAATTAGAGTTCAAAAGTATTCATCTTTAGAACAGAAAATGAGGCCTGGGGTAACAGAGCCATGAGCATGTCCCGGAAAGGGCCAGAAGGAGTGAGAATAGCCCAGCCCCATGGTACCTCTAGAGCCATACCAACAGCAAGACCCTTGTCTATTCGTTGTTGACTCACATATGTTATTTACAGTTGTGGTATCAAGAGTGGGGCTCATTAGGAAAATAGGTTGGAGAGTGGGAGAGGCAAAGAATATCTCACAATACAAGTCCAGGTTTAGTCCAGCAGTCCCATCATAAAGAACAAACCACAATTCCTTAATTAGTAAAAGTCCTGTTTTCAGTTCCACAGTCAAATCCACATCTTCCAGCAAGGTTTGCCTTGCTGAGAGCAATTATACGTCAGCTTCTCCTTCAAGCATCCAACCAGAACAGAAAAACCTTTAACTGGGGCCTTTACCTCAGGGCTTCTCTGGTTACACCATGTCATAGTTTCTACACAGCAATGCCACAATCTCTCCAGCACCACCACCAGTGTCTCCCTCTGGTCTCCCTCAAGTCTTGCTGCCCAGGGTGGGAAGAACTCTTGTCTTTCTAATCTTAGTCCCACAGCTCTTGATGATTGCAAAACTATGTTTCTATAGTTCAGGTAGCTGCAGACCAGAGGAGGCTAAGGTAATAGGTAAACAAACAAAAAAAAGGCCAACTTTAAGCTAACACTGCAACATTGATTCTTTTTTGGTGTTCCTGTTTATTGTCAAACTTCCATGTATATATATATACACACACACACACACATATACATATATGCATATATACATATATATACACACACGTATATATACATACACACACACACACACACACACACACACACACACACACACATATATATATATAGCTATTGAATAAAACCATGGCTTGAATTAGTTTTCAAACATACATACTTACTCCTTAGTATCTTATAGAGGCCTTTGACTTGGCCAATGCAATTTCTCTTTTGACTTCTTAACTACATCTTCCATGTGTCTTGATTTTGAAAACCAAGCCAACTGAAATCATTGACAGTTTCATTCTTTTGCCCATCTGTCAGGATGTGGTGAGGGTTTTTGTCTTCTTGATGTTGAAACGCAATCCATATTGAAGGCTATCATCTTTGGTCTTCTCAAGTCCTCTTTCAGTAGACAATGTTGTGTCATCTACATAAGACAGATTGTTGATGAATCTTCCTCCACTCCTGATGTCACGTTCTTCTTCACAGAGTCCAGTTCCTCAAATTATTAGCTCAGCATACAGATGGAATAGGTACAGAGAAAGGATACAACCCTGGCACATATCTTTCCTGATTTGAAACCATGTTGTGTCCCCTGGTCTATTTGAACAACTGCTGTTCAGTCTATACACAAGTTCCAAATGAGCATACATAAGTGTTGTGCGAATTCCATTCTTCTGAGTACTGTGCATTGTTTTCTTATGATTGTAACTTGCCATTGTCAGTGGAACACAAGTTAATGTGTTCTTTTTGCTCTTGTTTGCTGTTAAGTAGGAACTGATTCATCGTTGTTCCTCTGCCGGTTTTCAGAGGCTATCTATAAGAGAGGAGAGTGCCCATCTTTCTTCCACAGAGCACCTGGTAGATTCAAATCACATGCCTTGGGGTTGACATCGCAACTTCTTACCCACAAAGCCACCAGAGCTTCCTCATGTAGCCATACAAAATCATGAACCGCCCTTGGGTTTGTATGTGAAAAAATGAGACACGTTGTACAGTGGATAAAATACAAACAGACCAAAATGAGCTTGGCACTCATTTTTTTTTTTAATTTGCAGAGTGATAGCTAGAACCTGTGGGTTTCTTATGCCTCTCTCTGAGCTTTGTTGGCATTACCTGTTTGAGGTTTGTCTCCTAATGCATTCCACCTTTAGCCACCATCCACATAATGGTCTAGCTCCTTTGCTCAAGATCTCTTTCCAGAATTATCATTTCAGCAAGAAGGACAGAAGCCTTGCAAAAACTCTCTTCTTGCGCATGGAAGGCAGGCAGAGTTGGCTCACTCTACTTCATTTTCCTAATAAATTTTCAGGAAGCTCACTGTACAGATTCTACAGATTGTCTCCAACATTTCCTTCATCATGGACCGTTGCACAATATTTTGACATCTTCTTTAAAAAATATTTCTTAATCAGAAGGATTACCGAGGATACATATTGCTTTTGCATACCACAAGGGAATTCATACTCTCTGAAAATAGTATGCCTTTCTGTGATTTCCTTTTTTAAAATTTTGGGTGCTCTGGCCGTTTTTACTAGTTGCCTTTTTCTTTTAATTCTGTTGCAGTATCTCCACCTCCAATAAACAAGTGAAATCAATGCTGGGACATCTAATATTATTATTATTATTATTATTATTTTGTGTGCATGTACCGTCAAGTCAGATATGACTGGTACAGGAGGAGATTGCCCCTCTTTCTCCAGCAGAGCATCTGGTGGATTTGAACCTTGTACCTCTGGGATTGCATTGCAGCTTCTTGCCACTAGGACACCAGAGCTCCCTAACATCCTTTTTTTTTAAAAAAAAAAGAAAAGAAAACAAACACTTTTTTTCTCCTATTGCTCATCTTTAAACAATTATTTGGCTGTGTCTGTGTTTTGTGCTGTATTGAATGTGCGTAATTTAACATTTAAGTGGGAGATGATTGCATCTTTTCTTGACTTTAGATATCTGAAAATATATACACAATTCTACAAAAGATATACACAATTATATGAAAATGCCCAAGCTGGAGTTGATTTTTCATGTAGCCAGACAATGAGAATAATTTTATTTTCTATTGCATGCCATGGGCATCTCAGATTTCAATCACTTTAAATATCGTTTCAGCAATATGTAGGAAACGGGTGTCTTAATTATTTAATGTTTTTATTTTGGCTTTGAGGTTTATACGTTACCTTCCCAAAAGGATATAGATGATTAACAATGACTATTGTTGTTATTTACTATCAAATAGTAACCAACCCGTAGCTGCCCCTCCAATGGGCTTTCACAAGGGAGGACATTGCTTCTTTTTGTCTCACAGAGCAGCTGGTGGGGTCCTGTCACCTGCCTTTGGCTTGGCAGGATAACTCCTTAGCACTAAACCACAAAACTAGGCTTCTCCAAAGATCATTTTCCTGAACAGACGATGTAATGATATAAAGATGTAATGAAATCCCTCCCTCCAAGAGAGTCCTATCACTTCTAAGACTTCTAGTCTTTCTACAAGTCCACATGTAGAAATAGGATTCCTTCATTGTAAAACTTAAGACATCTTTTTCTTTTGTGTTTTTTTTAAACACATCTGTTAATCAACTTCTTTATTTTCCTTGCGTGGTTCTTTTTTCCTCTTTTGGCAGACATCCACGATCAGAACAGCAGGAAGCCGGTCATGGTGTATATCCACGGAGGTTCCTACATGGAAGGCACAGGCAACATGATCGACGGCAGCATCCTGGCCAGTTACGGAAACGTCATCGTCATCACCATCAACTACAGGCTGGGCGTCTTAGGTGAGTGCACACGTCTCGCTCACAGCTACACAAAGAGGCACTAACCACAGCCTGCCTTCGATTCACACAGGATTCTTGGATGGGAGTTTTGTGTCTTGAATGTCTAGGTCATTTGGCCTTCCTGTGTTTATTTTTCCTCATGAACTCTGTTCCCAGAGAAACGGTTATAACTACCAAAAATTGCTTTTCTCATTCCTTTTGCTCCCATCCTCGGTAACTTTCAAAGGTTTTCTTCTGTGTGAAACTTTTCTGACTGCTATACTAGTGATCTTAATGCAATGACCCTCTAGTTTCTTCAGTGTTGTCTCATATTTTACAAATACTTCATTGTTCTTTAGTAGTATAAATACACCACTGTCTTCTCAATCCATTCATTTGTTGATGGGCCTTTGGGTTGTTTCCATTTCCTTGCTTTGAAGGATAATGCAGTAGTTTTTTGTTTTGTTTTGTTTTTTGTCTTTCTGTGATTGGCTCGTAACGTTCAGGAACAAGTCCTCCAGACCCAATCACAATGTGCGGTGTTTTTCAGGTTCTTGGTTATCCTTTCATGGGGTGAAGTATCACATTGTGTGGAAGGACCACATTTTATTTACCAAATCACCTCTTGATAGGCAGGGCGATAACTTCGGTCTTTCTCTTGTTGAAGATAATGCTTTGACTTGTTTCAGTATCTTCATGCGGTCCAGCTGTTGTCTCGGTTGAGATTTGTTTTCTTTTCTCTCTGTGAACTTGATTCTCAACCCAGATAAATGCAACCTGATATTCACCCGATGAAAATCAAACTGTATTGAAAAGCACTTTTCTGTCTTGGGGTTAAGTGAATGTTTTGGGTTTAGTTTTGTTTTTAACTCAACAGATTCCTTTAGAATGAGTTATCTCTGGCAATTTAATAGTAGTAACCATAAGTAGTATTTTTTTTCCTTCTGAACTTGCTAAATATATCATTTGTAGAAATGTATTTTCCCTGGTGGCTTAGCTGATTGTGGATTTTGGGTTTGGGGAAGCAGTGGTATAAGCTGGACTGCAGTTGCACTTGTGGGCGATAAAACTTTTGGTTTGAATTATGTTCTCTGTGTGACTTCCAATCACAGGACATTGCCGATGTCCGTGAACGTTCGGATGTTGCTCTTATGTTGAACTGACATTTGGCTCATTTTTCCTTCTAATTGTGTGTCTGAAAATTGTAGATCTTGGTTGTAAGATACTTTACCTTCTGATAGGTTTTGGTCTACTTGAAACAGTCCATGAGTAGTAACATCTCCAGAGCTCTGTGAAAACCATTGTTTCACGTCACACGTCGGGAGAAGTGGGGTTTGTCACAATGACAGGGAAAAACCCATTGTGCAGTGTGATTATGGTAAATTGTAAGCAAAGAAAACAAACTCTGTGTCCAAGAGATAGTAAGGATGGAATAGAGCTCCACAGACGTGTCCAAGTCGCTCTCAGATGATAACATCCCAGAGTTCACGTCAGCGTTAAACAACTCGTTGCCGTCAAGTCAGACCTGACCTATAGCTGACCGTCCATTTCGTTTCCAGAGGCTGTAGATGACCCTGCAGGAGAATGCCCATCTTTCTCCTTTGGAGCAGCTGACGGATTCGAACTGCATGCCTTAGGGATGGCAACACAGCTCTTTCCCACTCGGCCACCAGAGATCCCTGAATCTACCTGGATAAAAGCAAACGGCATCTACTGGAGGACAGAGATGATCAGATTCAGGAAACGTCCTTTGTCACTCTTTTGGATCAAGAGAGAGGGCACCTTCTCTCTGAGTGGGAGCTAGAGATTATAGATTTCATAATTGGCTAAAAGACAAGTTAGCGAGATTGGAAACCTTGGCCGAGCTCACTTGAAAACACTTAAGTACGATTCCATGATTGTTCGGAAGTACCTGCATTTCTGTGTGTATCACGCAGAACCGCAGTAGGACTCTGGTGAAGCAGTCTGTAGGAGTTTGCCGTGCTGACCAGTAGACCGTATGTCTCCAGTGGGTTGAATCCACCACCTGGTCTGAGGGCCAGCAGTGGGCAGTTTCCTCTTTTGACAACTCTCAGCCTTGCAGAGCCTGCAGAGGGTCACTGTACATCAGAACCAAACTGACGACTTTGAGTTTTATTAGTAAAGTTCTATCCTCGACCATGTTTGTGTCTTGGAGTCAGTGAGAAAGATTGATTGGCAGTGTGGTGTCTCAAATTCCTTTCGGTGCAAGCTATCACATCTTGACATGCCATCTGTTCGACTCTTAACTTAAAGACCCTCTGGAGATAAATTAAATACCCTCCATCTGGAAAAAAAGAACAAACAAATCTATCTTGGGGAAAAAACCGCAACCAGGGTGTTTCTTGGCGGTAAGGAAGGTAGCTTTACCTCACATACTTTGAACATGGTGTGAAGCGGGGCGGTCCTTGGGAAAGGACATCGTGTTAGGGAAGGTGGAGGGTCCGTGGATGACCTTCCACAAGGTGGATCGACACAAGGACTGTGACAGTGGACTCAAGAATCTAGGAGGTGATGAGAGGATGCCAAAAGATAGAGCAGGGCTCACATCTGTTGTTCTTAGGGTCACTACGAGTCGTGATCAACATGGTGATTCCTAATAACCACAGAAACACCAGGTCAGCCTTCAACTTTAGACGTACTCTGTGTTGAAATGGAATCCATACTCATGTCAAGACTTTAAAATGGAGTGAAAGTCTTGACATGACTCTGGATGCCGTATTTTCAGATTACCCTCTTGAACTCTACCTCTTGCCCGGTGTATCTCTTCATTTCAGACTCCATACTTTGCCAGGAATATTGTATTATCAACTTGCTGTTTAAATTTTACACTCAGTGTTTTCCTCCCTCATTCATCTTTGAAAACATGAACATACAAAAGACCCCAAGAGAGAACCAGTACTAGAAATTTGACTGATTTAGAAATTTTCCAAGCGAAGACACTACAGCTGTTTGCAAAATGATGATAAAGTAGTCAGAATTTGACATTGGTATTTACATTAAAGGAGCAGAAGGGAGGGAATGGTTAGAGGTGCCTTCAAGTTGTTTAAAATTAGTCAAAACTCAGGAGCTCTGGTGGCCTCATGGTAAGAAGCTGTGCTGCAATCCCAAAGGCACACAGTCAGAGGCCACCAGCTGCTGTTCTGAAGAAGGACGGGCAGTCTCCACCTGTGCTATTAACTGCCTCTGAAAACCCACCAAAAGATCAACTATGAGTCAGTTCTGACTCTGTAGTACACAAGAACACAAAAACAGGATTCAATCCTATCCACCTAGCAGCATCCACAAGGGACAAGTCTTTGTAAGCTTCTTAATCATAATCGTAATCCTACACCTATAGAGAGTTAACTACTTACGAGTCCTGGGGTCTCTGGACCGTACTGTTGAACAACCTCAAGGTCCATTTGCATCACAAAATCCTCCAAGATGACTTTCTATATCTTACTTTGGCAAAATAGCAACTGGGGTCATAAATGTCATTTCAGTTTTGAAGAATGTTGATAAAAAGTTTAGAAGAAGAATTCATAAAGGAAAGATCACATCGAGGAAGATGTTTCCAAATGACTTGTCAACCAAACGTTAGGTGAACTGTCATTTTTAAATCAAAAAGAAAGAGAGGGGAAAGTTGGTGAGCAGTCCTCAAAGGTACAAGTCTTGGTGTTTTCCTGAACAATGATGAGATGGAAGCAGCCGAGAGGACTAACGGACCATTGAAGCCTTGTTCACTCTGAGACCAGAAGCACTAGATGGTGCCCCGCTACGACTACCAAAAAGATCATTCTCAAAAAGATCACAGTCATGAATCCTATGGGATAATGTGTAGACTCTCATGGGAGATCATGTGGAACAACATTAAAAATCATTAAAACATTAAAGGCAAGGCTTACAGGTCCAGTGCACACAAGGAGAACCCCTGAGATACCATAATAACCCTTTAACCAGACTCTCCCCCTTGGCTCACCTTTGAGCTAAAACAGTAGATGGTCATTTAAAGTAATAAATGACCCCAGTGAAACAAGAACTATAGTGGCCTAGGGGTAAGGAGCTGTGCTGCCAACCTAAAGGCACACAGTTTGAATCCTGGTGAAAGATGGGCAGTCTCCTCCTGTGGGATTTACTGCCTCTGAAAATCCACTGGAAAGTCAGCTATGAGTAGGTTTCAACTAGAGGACACACAACATCAACAACATAAGATTAACGCTAGCTGCAAGATTAAATCCTGAAGGCAGAAAAGGGTAATCAAAAGAAGAATATCCATGTTAAAAAAAATGAGAGTCATAGAGAGGAAGTGGGGAGAAGTGTGATTGATTCCATTGTGTATATTATCATTAAGGTTCTAAAACAAATTGTCTGTGAAAGATTGAGCGACAGAATCCATTTGCTTTGTTAATTGTCACTTTAATCATAATTTACAAAAAACAATTGAGACTCCCATAAATTTAGACATAAAGTTTATTCCCAGCAATTCTTTGATAGATATACATTGTGTTAGGTGCTGTGGAGTTCAATAGGAGTCATTGCAACCTACAGTCAATCTGCTCTGAACCCTATTCTCTCCCACACCATCTTCCTCATCACTGATAGACTCTTGCCCCAGGGCTGAGGTACCCTGTCCGTCTGTCTCACGGAGGGTCTTCCTGTCTTTTATTGGCCTTTCACCTTTCCTTCTCTAACAATTGTCTCCTCTTGCAGTATGCCCAAAGTATAGGAGACAACACTCGGCTCTCTTTGCCTCTAAGAGGGTCAGAGGCCTTCTGACTGAGGGCATTTCTATAAAAAGTCAACCACAAACGGTTTCTAATAACAATGGCCTCTGGCCTGGGTCATAACGATGGCGTGGGATAGGGCAAGTGTAAGATCTGTCGTTCATAAGGTCATTATGAATCTTCGTCAACTTGATGACACCCAACAACAAAAAGTGATTTATGATGGGACTTAATAATTGGAAGAGGACAGGAGAAAATAGCATAAGGATAGGCTATTTCTCAGACAGGGACATCGTG